GAATGTCTTTTCAAAGTTTCCAAAGACGTTAAAAATGACTACGAAAACGACAATTATCCGAATTTTTTATAAATATATTTTTGAGACGTTGTATCTCAACTATTTAAATTTAATTTTAAAAGTGATTTAAACTATTCAAAAGGGCAGTTTTCAATTTATTGAATACATTTTCAAATTTCAAGATTACCCAATTTTCTGAAATTTTTATAAATATACTACTTAACTTTGCGAAGCTTACCTTAATTATTTCAAGTTTCTTTTCAATCCAGTTAAAACTATCGAAAAGAGCACTTCTTGATGCTTCTAATGCCTTTTCCATGTTAAAAAAGGCAATGTCTAAAGGTGCTAAAAATGACCACGAAAATTACCCGACTTTTCGAATTTTATATAAACGTAGGCTCCGTTGAGACTTGTAGTTCAATTAATTAAAGTCAATAAAATCAAAATGCACATAAAAACAAGTAAACAGCAAAATTGTAAAATGGAGACGTGACATCCATGTGGTGTCACTTTTGTGACAAACTGTGAAAGAAAATAACCATAGACGCACGATACAATTTGCAGCCCTAATTGCGAAAGAAAGAACATCGTATATGCAACCACATAAACGGCAACGTAAATAAGTTTGCATATGAGTATTTCTTCAGAAATTGCAACATTTGAAATTACTTCTGCCGATAAAAACGCAAAAATTTAATTTCTCTTTCTCTAAAATGATACTAGAAATGATATAAAAAATTTGGAAATCATTCGTAATAAAAAAAAATCCTTGGTTATTCTAAGTCGTTTGATATTAAAATATAAATGGGGTTTCAAAAGGGCTAAACCACTTTATATATGAGCTTTAAGCTTAGGGCTTGCACCTCTTTTAATGAAAGCTTTACCAACTCTGCTTGAATACAGTAATAATTCATGACACGAAAATATTCTACAGTTAAAAAAGGAAATACGAAGATTGGAAAAACTTTGGCGGTTGTTGTAGAACAAACAGAATAAAATCGAACGTTGTCATATATTGTACTATTGTAAGAATTCANCAAACAGAATAGCTCAAAACCCCAACGCCAAAACACGACACTGTAGTTGTCCGAAGCACTTTTCGGTAACAAAGTTACCTTCTTCAGGGACTGAAGTAAACTTGGTCCCTGAAGAAGGTAACTTTGTTACCGAAAAGTGCTTCGGACAACTACAGTGTCGTGTTTTGGCGTTGGGGTTTTGAGCTATTCTGTTTGTTCTAGGTTAAAAAAGGAATAAAATCGAACGTTGTCATATATTGTACTATTGTAAGAATTCAAAATGGGTAACCCACCTGCGATTTACTAAAAATTAAGTAAAATACAAAATTATATAATTTATCAAAGAAATTGTGCATTTAATATGTAATGGGTGGTTCCAGTAAATTAGAAAAATAAAACCTTACCAGAAACCATTAACCAACCACAATCAAATAGTATACAACAGTACCAAGTCTCCAAAAGATAAATGATAAATAAAAAAATCATTCACCACTAGTTTGTTTAATTATGACCAGAATAATGCTTTTGTTTAATTTTATTAGTAGATTTCGATTTATGGGTAAACGTTTTGCCTAATAAGTTGAACTATTTGGGATAATTTAGTGAAAATTTCACAATTACTATCTTTAATTAATAATGTCACTTACCAATTCATGACCATAAATCCTTGTTTTAGTAACATCAAATACTTTTACTGAGGACAGATACTTTATTCTTACTTCAACTACTTGTATATCTTGGAATAAACAAGGACTTATGCGACCAATAAATCCCGCAAAAACAATACACAATAAACGACCCTTTTCAGCAGAATAAAAATTAACTTCATTTCTCTTTGTCTCTTTGTTTCATAGCCCATCTCTAGAAATGGACCAGAAAAATCAATTAACTACACTATCAAATTAATAAAGCATGAATTACAATAAAAGCAAGCAACGAAGAGAAAGCAAAATAGCAAGTTTAAAATGACAATGTGCTATTAGCGGGCTTCACATGCAATATATAATTATTTGTGAAGTAAACAAGCATTGCTGCCCTAATACATTATACATATTTGTAATTATCCAAAGATGGAATACATTCGAAGTCATAATAATTCGTAATTTAACATTTATATCTCCATAGCCCTTGAAATAGTATGAATTGAAAATGAAGGAAAAAAAAGAAAAAAAAGTACAATTAAATAAAGCCTTTTATTTTTATAAAATAATTAAACTACAACATACTCATTATGAGTACTCTTATAAATTAAAAATAAACCAGTAATGTTACTACTGATAAATTAGATGAATGGATTTTTTCCAATGAATAATTAAAGTTGAACAGCCTTGCACATATTAAACAGAATTGACGTGAATAAAACTGATGGGAGTTACATCATCATTGGCAGTTTTGCTATCAATTTTAAGTTCAACATTCTTTTGCCATGGCTCCCTTTTTTTGGTATTTGAACCTAGCAAATAAAAAGATTTTACATAAAAAAAAGTATACATAATGCTAAACATTTATTCTTAACTGAGAAATAAAAAACGGCGTATGGAAATTAAAGGCTATATGTGTGCTTTCATCAATAAACGTAAAAAATAACAAAAAAATTAACAAAATCAACAGACAACGTTCTAGTTGTAAACTTTCCCCAAAGCTGTAAATCTCATTTACTTCATAGTAGTAAAAACTTCATCTTTATAATAAAATTATAACTAAAATCACATTGCTAATACTTTTTAATAGCATTACTAGAGTATCAAAATTATCATCAGTTACGAAGTTGCGGTTACGATTACGGAGTGGATCGTTTAAATTTTATACTTCCTAAAAAACTATCCAACTCTAATTCCATAGCCGTTAAGAATATTAATTAAACGTTTTAAAAGTCTAAGACGTGCGGAAAATATTTCTCTGTACTTATGTTTCTAATGCTTACCTTTACCTAGAAGAAGTTTTTCAAGTCCTATTACTGGCGATTCAAAAAACGTAGTTAAAACCAAAGCTCCTGTGAACGTTAAAGCTATGTCTCCTAAGCTGTACCAAATCTAAAAATAAGCATAATAAAACAAAATTAGTCTTCAAGGGGGTAGGCATATTTCTCAAATAATACGTACCAAATTGAAAACACCACACGTCATGGGGGTTCGCAATGAAGCTGCTGTATAAAGCTGAATTCCTCCATGACACAAAAAGGCAGTATAAGTAATTTTACTTAATGAATTCAATGGCCTCCATGACAGAAGAGGATCAATTAATGCTGTAAAAAAAGGAAAATTTTTGAGACTCCCATATTTAGATAGAATTGCAATTTTCATGATAAAAAGAATATTACTTTAAAAATATCTACAAAAAGCACAATATTTTAACTTCAATAGTTACTTTTATGAAAAGTGTACAAATACTTACTTCCGTGTCCTGTTGAAATAGCTAAAATAAACCAACTGATGCAGATGCTCCAAAAAAAGTGATGGAATGCAGAATAAACAGCAGCAGTATGGGGGTCGTAAGGTCTACTAGGGATATAGAATATGTATGCCGAGTAAACTATTGCTTCCATGGTAAGAATACAGATAAACCATCCAATATAAACTACCCTTTTGGATAATTTGTAATCGCTCTTCTGTATCCTGTGAAGTAAGTAACCTGTTCCTATACCCACCAGGTACGGGCTAGCTCTCGTGTGAGTAGGGATGTATATATTTTTAAACGTCTGATCTACTGTAGGATCCTTCAAAGTGCTTGAAAAATTAAAGAAAAAATTAATAAGAATATATATCACTGAATAAAATTAACGTGAGTTACAAATACAACAAATATGACGGTATATATGTAATAAAGCAAGTTTGTTTTTTGTTTGTTTTTTTGCTCTGTTGAATAAAAATAATGCAAAAAAATGTATTGTAGCTTAATTTTCATTACTTTTATCTCCTATCCCTAGACTAGTCACAAAAGAAAATCATAATGAATTTGGAAAAAGAAAAGTTATAGTTTCAAAAATGCGTCCCTATTTAAAAAGTATATGTGGTACGTACTTGATATAAAGTAGTAAAATTCCGTCCAGTTTTCCAAAAAAGGTTGTAAGGAAGGTACTTAATATCGACATAGATATTAAGCAACCCAGTAGAACAAAACCAATTTTTGTGCTTTTCCTCAAAACCCATACAATAAATGGAGTAAGAAGAAACAGATGCATGTCGCATGTAATATACCAAGATTGGAACATGCACTGAAAAAATACATACATAATTAATTAAGAATTTGTACCTACACAAATGTTCATGAAAAAAGTTCGAGTTCATGAAAATGTGTATTTCACGAGTCTATATATAATTTTGAGTAGTATCAATTAAAAAGTACATGTGTTTATTGTCACATCCGGTCATATTGTGTGGGTCCAAAGGCAACTAACTACCTATATCAAGATTCAAAATGCAAAAAACTACAAAAATGATGTTATTACAGAACACGTAAATATCTGGAGGAAGCATTCGCAGTGCTCTTGCTACTGTTTCTTGGCTATTGGTTAGGGAATTCCCATATTCTCGTTTATTCTCAAAATAGGTTGCAAAAAGCCAGAAATCTGCTTTTCATTATTATATACTCATGCTGTTAAATGGGCAAAAAAATGGGTGTTAAATGACACTTCAAATTGTCAATATCATTCATATAGAAAATTGTCTTACATTTATTGTTGATAAATCGCATAACCCACACGTAAAAAGCGGTTTTGACTATAAGTATGTGTAGGTAGAAAGTCTTATCGTTCAGTAAAAAATAAAGTGACATAATTGGTCGAATTTCGATCACGAAAGGTACTAGTATAAGAATTATTTAATTCGATTTTAATTTTAAATAACAGTATAAGAAATACTTACAATTTTATCGGTGTTTATGTAATTATTTAAATACAATAAGTTGGCCCACCAACTGGAAATGCATCGTTCTTGTTCTACACCGATCCTCTCTTCCCAAAGAGGACCATTCCCCAACTTAACGAATATTGTACAGTAAAAGGCCACTATTAAGGCGTAAACTGGAGTTAACCTACGAAATATAACATAAATATTATATAAAAAGAATGTAAGAATATTTGTTACATTGTTGAATTAAAACAAAAAGTCTTATTCTTACCGTATCAAACGGTGAATGTAAAGAAAAATAAAATTTGAATTTTTGCTTTTTTCATCCCGTTTTTGGAGTATAAGATAAGCCGCTAAAAATCCAGAAATACTAAAGAACGTATCAACTATGATAGGTCCATTGAGGAGAACCATCGTTTCCACGTTATTATAAAACTAAAAAAGAAAACAATATTTAAAAAGTGGTTTCGGATTTATTAAACCTTTTTTGTGAATCATTAAAAAATGTTATTTTTTTCAATAATAATAGTCACAGTTAATAACAAGAAAGTAAGGGTAGTATTAAATCAATGAAGAAAGATCAAACAGCTTTTAACTTTTATAAAAGATTTCGTTTTACCAAAAATAAAATACTTACACTTTCTGCATAGTTTGTGTTAATAGAAGGTACTCCAATAAAAAACATAATTCTATGTCCCATAATTATAAGAGCCATGGAATACACTTTTAGACCATGAATGCATTCTAACTTATCTTGTTGTTTTTTATATGAAAATATTTTTTTAATATTGCGAATCAAAGAGAACGACATCACAAGTTGATGTTTTGATTCTGAAAGGTAAAATTAGAAGTGAGAATTTAATAATGAAAAGTATTGTAAAATAAGGGTGCTGTATCTTAGGAAATGAGTAAACAAAAATACATGGTTTTACTTTTTTTATAAAACAATGCACCAAATTAGTAACTTTCCAAAGATAAAATTTAACTTTTACTTATTAGCTTGATTTCAAGTTATGAAAAAGTAAATATTAGAAGAAATACGACATTACATAATAAATAACCACGTTACAATACCACTTACCAGATAATCGCCAATTTTTGAATTCCTCTAACTTTAAAAGAAGTTCATAACAGCTACATCCCAGCACAATTAATACTATCACTACCACAATTGATCTGAAAATATGAATAGAAAATAAATAGAATTTCGTAATTTGAAAGAAATAATGTTAAAAATAACTTGCAAGTCTTTTTTACAGTTCGTTTCTGAAAGTTTATCATTATTTGAATTATTATTAAGGAAATGTTAATGATATTTGAAAGGACATTTCGCACCCCGATGACTAAGTGCAGAAGTGCACATAATAAGAACATAAAAAAATGTAAAACTTCTATTGTTCGTACATATGAGCACACATATCATTTTTATTTTTACTAACTAAATTAATGTAGGGTGACTCACAGTAAGGACTGCCATAATTATAATACTTACAGAAAAATGATATCGGAATAATCGAGGTTTAAAGGTTCTTCAACTTGGCAGTTTCTTTTGTTGACGTTGATGGTCAATTTAAAGTCCTGTAAATCGTTATAAATATCTGCTATTTCCTGTAAATGAATTTGAAGATCCTTGCCAGTGCACGATGATGGAATGCAAAAACCCCAATGCAAAACATTTCTCTCTCTTTTAGAACGGTCTTGAGACAGTGACTGGAATGAAAAGAAAAAAATGTTGGATTTGTGCACTGCATTTTTAAAATTACCGAAGTATCAAGTGAATTCTAATTTCGTAAAGATAATACTACTACTAAGACACTTTATGTAGTTAAAAATTTTTCGATGTACCTATCTATTAAGTGATGAAGATAAATATAAAAGTCAAAAGTAACGAATGAATTTTTTAAAAATTGCAGTTTTAGGCAAAAGCGAATACCAATTGAACTAATTTCCTTTTTTCTTCCAAAATCATGATACAAAAGAAAAACTAATGTGATAAGAAACGGTAAACCAACAGTACCCACTACTTATCTACTTTTTTTTCTGAATTTGCAAAAAAGTAATGATGCATTATGATGCAAATTACATGTTCTTATTTTTATATAATAAATGTAAATTACATATTTAACAACAAGAATTGAAAGAAAATCAAATGAACAATGTTCACAGGACGATACGTGCAGTCAATGAATATTTTTTTCAGGGTACGTTTAAAATCAATTTTAAGTTTTTTAATAAAATTAAACTTGTTTTCACATTGTTTTTAATATTTAAAGTTGTTATCACTTATAAATTAACCAAAAAGTTTGTTCCTGGTCTTTTAAAGGTATAAACATTGACATAAATCAATTTTTATATTAAAAAATCCGTTTTAATTTTTTTCAATATGGCTTTTTTTTTTATTTTAACAATTTAAGAGAATATTCTACATTGGTAAAGATCTTTTTTTTCGAAACTTTTCTAGAGAAGAAAACATACACATGTTTTAAACAATTTTACAATTACAGCATACATGAAATTTCTAAGATTTTTCGACTAATTAAAAAGAGCCATTAAAGTAATACGTTTTAGGCATATGATTTTGTTTTTTTTGTATACAATATATACCCTGCACTTAAAACAACAAATGAACAAATACCAAAAGTAGTTTACGCGATAGACAAAAAGTAATTTCAAAAATATTTGAAAACCTCCCTTTAAAATTTCATGATCGTTAAGATTTCTAACTTCGTATTTTTAGGTTTTCCATAGGTGGAACCTAACCAGTTTTTTAATTATTTTAATTTAAGTAATTATGCCAAAATCCCCTCATTATCAATTAAAAATATCGTAGTCATCATACATATGTTAAATTAATTACGTAAGGTTGTTGGTTGCTTGTAAGCAATTAATTAAAGTAATTATACAAGTAAAAACATGAGACGTGTTAAGCATGTTTTTACGAATTTGTTACATATTAGTACATCGTTTCTTATTATTTTTTAATGGCAAACAAATCTTGTTATCAGTTTTAAATGAAATTTTGTTACTGACAATTATGTTGGGGAAGTACTAATAACACAAAGGCATTTTTAATGGCAATGAAGTAAATCTGACTTTAACAAAGTATTGTGGTTCCAGGGTGTAGTTCACAATTTAATTTTTAAACATAATATAAATATATATTTAGGACCTTTAATTAACCGTATAATTTCAGAGTAACTTATCGATCTGCAATCGAATTATTATACATAAAATTATAGTTCTGTATTCAGAATTTAATTAACACTGTCCACATGGTACGATATTTAATAATTTTATAAAACTTATGTACCCATTATTATTTTCAAAAATTACGAGTTAAACGCGTGCCGAGCGTTTGGTACTTTATCAAATACGTTACTTGATTTAGAAAAAAGTATTTATATCCCTAATAGCACCTTTGAAGGTCCTAGGTGAATTAAAAGTACTCACATACAATATTTAGGACATCGAAACAAGCGAAGCCGCGGAAAAAACCTATAATAAAATTTTGTACACACATTATCAGGGGTACAAAAAAGGGCATAGGATATTTTTTATCCAAATTGTCAGGGGTACAGAAAAGAACATACAATATACTTCGTTTACTTTCTGTAACGATGTGACCTTCAGTTTGACCGGCGCAAAGAAGAAAAGAGCAGCACTAGGCCAGAAAAGGAAGGAGACAACTCTCGGCCAAACTCTTAACTGGTGAGGAGCGTATAATCCGTACAGTACTGCACGGAAAAATTGACCATTTTATCCACTACAATTACATTGCTCAAATGTGCTGTTATTGATACCATTTACTAGTGAAAATATCAACGAGATGTTTATTTATATTTGAAGATATATTAAAGGCTTAAAGGCTTATTTTCGACTCGCACTACTATTCATGATTGAGCAAAACTTTTGGCAGGTACTGTATAAAAAAGGATGTTTAATGAAGAAGGGTTGAGAATATAATGAGCTTTTTTCTCCCTACCTACGATTTTGCCAGCGCGCATCCAAGACAAAAAGTACTGTTCCAAAGAAATAGAAAAAGTTAGTTTTAGTTTTTAGCTCTTACTAACATTCTATCTTCAGACTAGACCTACTGTACACGTTTCTGCACTGTAATATTTTTCAAAAAAAAAAATCCGCTAAGATCAAGGTAATATATGAATTATAAAGGAAAGGAATCTATGTTAGTGATTCTACAAACGTCTTAGGATATATGCAGGACATACATACATACACATTTGCATACAAAATAGAAGTGGATGCATTATTATAAGTGTCGTATACAATCTGCAAAGCCTTGAGAACCTGTCCCACCACTTCACTCAAAAAAATATTACTGATAGCAATAAAGTTGCCTATTCATTTTATTTTTGTCTGCGTTGCAACCACCATTCTTTTTTTTACTGTATCTACATCATGTTTTCAATTGCTTTAAACAACAACAATCCAAGTATATAAAATCGAAATCGTACTACAACGAAAAGCGTCAAGAGAAGCATCAAATTTTCTTGTTGATATTTCTATAATCTAATGTAATAATCAGAGTTACAAAACTAGAATTTAGACTTAATTCTTAAAACAAAAAAATACAACGTGTAATTATACAATACGCTACTGAAGTGAAACTTCTTCAAACACACAAACATACGGGGATAGGGGTTAAGGAATTGATTTAATGATATTATTTGTACACTATGCGGTACCGCCGCAAGTCTGTAATATCTTCCAAAATATTCATTGAAATTATATGCTGTAAAGGGCCATATTGATCTATATTAAATGTACAATGTATTTAAAAGTACTTAATTGGATAAGGATCAATGCTGTATTGCTTAAAATCGCTTCGTAAATAAGCCATTATTTCTCGTAAAAAGTAAAGAATAAAAAATGGTTATTGTGGGTTATCCCTAAAAGATAGAATATACCATCGCGGACTTTTTTGTAGACATTTTTAAGGTGTAAAATACTGTAGTATATTATTTTGATCTATGTCGTAGGGTTCAGCCAGCGTTTGCAATGTAATCGAAAAAAAATTTGTTTATTTACGACATCACATTACAAACCTCCAAAATTATCAGTGTTTCCCTACTATATTATGCATGTATTATACATATAAACCTTCCTCTTGAGTTACTCTATCTATTAAAAAAAAACTCATTAACAACGTCATAAGAAAATACTGATGGAATGGTTTTATTTTTCAAAAGAAAATTTTAATTTTATTTGTTTGATAGATATTTTGTATGGATATAGAGAAGGAGGTAAATGGAAATGTATTATTGTATAGCAGCTGTCCACGCGGACGCATCGCTCACTCAAGTAGGAGAGAGACAGATGTCGAACGCTGCCGAACGCGGAGGCCGATTGTGCCTCTTTGTCGCTCGTTCCGCG